GGGGTCATCTGATGTCAACCGCATTCCGGTATTCAACTTCAGTGATTCAAAAATTACGATTGAAGAAGGAGAGCCTGTGGGTGTATTGGAAGAAGTGGCCTGGATAAGAAAATGCTCGGAGAATCTTGTGAAGAAGGACAGTACGGGAATAGACTTTGTAACGAAAATCTTAGACGAAAACAAAAGTCTGACAAAAGTGGAGACTATGAAAGCTAGAAATTTACTTCTTCGATTCTCTGATGTGTTTTCAAGAAGCGATGGTGATATTGGCCGAACTGGTTTGGTGAAGCATAAAATAAATACAGGTGATACAATGCCAATTCGTCAAAGGCCCAGACGCATACCATTCGCTCGTGAGAAAGAGGTTGAAGAAATGATTGACGATATGAGGAAAAATGACGTGATAGAGCCCTCTTCTAGCCCTTGGTGTTCACCTGTCGTGCTTGTCAAGAAGAAAGATGGTTCAACGAGGTTTTGCGTAGACTATCGACGATTGAATGATGTAACCAAGAAGGATAGCTACCCGTTACCAAGAATCGATGACACACTTGACACACTGAGTGGCATGAAATGGTTTTAACGCTCGATCTGAAAAGCGGCTATTGGCAGGTGGATTTGGATCCCAAGGACAAGGAAAAGACCGCATTCTCAACTGGGAAGGGACTCTGGCAATTTAAGGTGATGCCATTTGGATTATGCAATGCACCGGCTACCTTTGAGCGTTTGATGGAACAGGTGCTGGCGGGACTGCTGGGCGAAACCTGCCTAGTTTACCTCGATGACATCATCATTGTTGGACGGGATTTTGACGATCATCTAAGGAAATTGGAAAAGGTACTCGATAAGCTGCGTGGAGCAAATTTAAAGTTGAGTCCAAAGAAATGCTCTTTCTTCAAGCGCGAAGTGAATTATCTAGGACATGTTATTTCTGAGAGAGGAATTGAGACTGATCCAGCCAAGACTGTCGCTGTTAAGGAATGGCCAACACCTAAAGACAAAACGCAAGTTCGGGCATTTCTTGGATTGTGCTCGTATTATCGGCGGTTTGTGAAAGGATTCTCGGACATTGCCAAGCCTTTGCATCGATTGACAGAGGAGAAACGTGCCTTTATCTGGGACGAGGATTGTGAGCAAGCCTTTCGAGACCTAAAAGAACGGCTTTGTAACACACCAATTCTCGGATACCCCAGCGCGAAAGGAATATTCGTAGTTGATACGGATGCCAGTAATATTGGAATAGGAGGTGTCCTTTCACAACGCGATGGTGAGCAGGAGAAGGTTATTGCTTACTTCAGCAAGTCACTATCGAAGCCGGAGAGGAATTATTGCGTGACCAGGAGGGAATTGCTGGCCGTAGTCAAAACTCTGCACCATTTCAAGAAGTATTTACTGGGGCGGAAATTTTTGATCAGAACTGATCACGCTGCTTTGAAATGGCTGCTTCAGTTTAAGGATCCCGAAGGCCAAGTAGCCAGATGGTTGGAACAACTTCAGGAATTTGACTTTGAAATCGAACATCGCGGCGGAAGAATCCATGGCAACGCAGATGCATTATCGAGACGCCCATGCGTGGAAGATTGCAAGCATTGTGCCAAGAAGGAAACTGCTTTTCTTAAGGTGATAAGGACTGATACTGTTGACGAGGCATGGGGAGATGATGCGATGAAATTAGAACAGGAAAGAGATGCAGATATTAAACCAATACTGGAGTGGCTACGAAGTGGTAACAAGCCAAGTTGGAGTGACGTCGCCCAATATAGCGCGGTAACGAAAGGTTTATGGGCACAGTGGAAAAGCCTTACGCTGCATAACGGACTTCTGTGCAGGAAATGGGAATCAACAAACGGCAAGGACGAGCATTTGCAATTGGTGGTGCCTCGTTCAAAAATAAGGGATGTATTAAAAGCGTTCCATGATGGATCTTCTGGAGGACATTTGGGAATTAGAAGGACTTTGGTGAAGATCAAGGAGAGGTTTTATTGGTTGCATTGCAAATATGACGTCGAAGATTGGTGCCGGAAATGCACTAGTTGTGCAGCTGTCAAGGGTCCACAAACAAGAAGCAGAGGGGCGATGAAAATCTACAATGTTGGTATGCCTTGGGAGAGAATAGCCTTAGACATCGCTGGACCATTTCCAATCACTGATTCGGGCAATCGCTACGTTTTAGTGGTTATGGATTATTTTACAAAATGGCCGGAGGTCTTTGCCATACCGAATCAAGAGGCAGTAACTGTAGCCACGAAGTTGGTAAACGAGGTATTCACCCGATTCGGAGTGCCCTTGGAGATGCACAGTGATCAAGGACGGAACTTTGAGTCCCAAGTTTTTCAGGAAACTTGTAAACTTTTGGGAATCCATAAGACTCGAACGACTCCTTATCATCCACAGTCAGATGGAATGGTCGAACGTTTCAACCAAACATTGGAACGACACTTAGCAAAGGTGGTTGACAGCCATCAGAGAGATTGGGACACTTACATACCTCTCTTCTTGCTTGCCTATCGGACTGCTGTACATGAAAGTACCGCAAAGACGCCTGCATTTGCAAATTTTGGAAGGGAATTGAGATTACCGGCAGATCTTGTATCGGGCTGTCCACCTGGCGACTCTCGCACCGAATTTAGCGATTACATAAGCGAGTTAAGGGCAAAAATGTTGGACATTTATGAGCAGATCAGGGAGGCCGGTCTTCAAGCTAATGATCGCGCAAAGACGCGCTATGATCGACGAGCCAATTCTGTTCGGTTTGAAGAAGGGTCATTGGTCTGGCTTCATAATCCAGTCAGAAGGAAGGGAAAATCTCCGAAGCTGCAACCGAGTTGGGAAGGTCCTTATGAGATAGTCACGAAGATCAATGACATTACTTACAGAATTCGGAAGACTTCAAGGAGCCCTTTGAAAGTTGTCCATATAGACAGGTTGGCGAGGTATTACGGCAGCAACGATGCTCGGGACGAGCGAATCTAAGAGGGGGGCAGTGTGACGGAAAACTCTTTGACATCATGACGTCAAGGGATGGTTGTCAAACGTTGCCTAGAGATCGTGAATTGTCAACACGAGTTGGTGTAATCGGTAAGGCGTGTGGATTACACCACAGAGACCCCGAGTTCGAGTCCCGCCGTAAACATGAAGTTTTTTAGTTGATGGAAGTTTTGTAGAACTTTCTGGAATTATTTGAGTGAAAGAAATGAAAAATTAAGGAGCGAGAAGGAGAATAAATAAAAATGAATAACGAAATTATTGGAAGGTTCTGGAGGCATGACGATCAAAAAGAATAACGAAATTGAATGTTCTAGAACCTGACCGGGGGTATATAAGCGGAACTGCGGCTCACCGCTGGCAGTTGAGTTCTAAGTCCAAAGCGATTCGGAAGAAGTGAAAAAGAAGAAAAGTGAGTGAAATAGTGAGTGAGTTAAGTGAAAGTCAGCGTGAACTGTGAGCGGCAAACGGAAGTTTGTGTCAGTCGCCCGGACTCTGCCGGAGAGGAACGCCGAAAACTTAACTCGGTGGACACTGTCATTTAAGTGCAATAGAAAGTCTTGAAAACCGGTATTAGTGTTTAATTTTATCCAATCCCGTAACCCAAGCCCGCATAGTCAGGAACGTGACGTCAGGCACGTAACAATATTTATGAAAATGTAATTCACGCTCATAAAAACAAAAGCGTATTTAAGAAGCATATACATAATATTACTTAACACGAGGGGGAAAAACAAATATGTTGTGCCTGCCTCCAGGCTTCAGAACATTAGTAGTTCGTTTAGATGTCAATGTATACGCTTTTACAATAAAATTCCTAGCGATATGCAAAATTTGAGCCTCAATAAATTTAAAAGTGTAATAAAGGCTAAACTTTACTGTAAAGCATTTTATTAAATAAAAGACTACTTAGAAGATAGTCAGGCTTGGGAATGAGCCGTTGTAACGTCTTGACATGTTCGTACCATAACCAACATAAGTTGAACTTTTATATACAATTTGACATTACGTTTATTTTTTTATACAATGACATTATCACCTATTGACATTTTTTATTTTTTGTTTGACATTTTTATTTATTTATTTAAGTCTCGAGCACAGGCGCAGAGTAGCCAACCTTGCGGTTTTCTACAGGATGCATTTTGGAGAGTGTGCCCAGAAATTGCACAATTTGATTCCGCCATCCCAATTTCACCTTCGGACATCCCGGCGTACGGCGAATATCCACCCCTACGTTGTTGAGACACCAGCGGCCCGGACTAAGCGTTTTGCCTCGTCATTTATACCGCGTACATCGAGGGATTGGAACAGTTTGCCGGCTGCAGTCTTTCCGTCCGAATACAATTTGCGTGTCTTCAAGGCTAGAGTGAATAGGCTCTTAATAAACTAGTGCGCCTTACCATCAACGATTGCATCACTGCTTTCCATCAGGTGGGATCGCAGTCAAGCACTAGTTTATTGCAAGTAAAAAAAAAAGACATTTTTATTTTTTTCTATTATTGTTAGTGTAATGACCGTGTGAGACTTGCCGCGATTTTGATTACCAGCTATCTGCGTTCTGACAGTTTGAGTACTTGCGCGGCCCACCCAAATATTATTTTGATCATTATTGTTCGTCGGATAACTCAGCAGCACTAGCTATACTGATTGCAAACTGACACTTGTGTGCCTGTCTTCAGAACGGTCCACTTAAACTGGTGTGGTTCTTTCCTCAAAAGACCACTACAGAATGAACTTGTACGGTTCTCCCACGTTATGTTATTTTTACACTGTCTGGACTTGAAAAGAGACTGACCTCTGAGTTTGTTTCGGCATTTCTTCTCAGAGTATGACTACTCTGAGAAGGTAAAATATAGAAGTATAGAAGGTAGATAGGAAATGCCGGCTTCATCTAGTTTTTCACATATAATTTGACGTTTAAAACTGCAGTTTTATGGCCTATTTGCAAAAATAAATTCATTGTTTCATTGTTTCAATATGAACCATGCTATACTGAAAAAAATAGAGTAAAATGTTACCTGTTCATCCTTACTCATGCCGCCTCCAGCCTGAGCGCCTGTGTCTCTCGGTTGCATTTCAAACACCACCTACAGAAAGCTAAGCTTGAGTATAAACAGTTGCCTAATTGTTTTTAAAGGGACTAAAATCCCTACACTTCACAGAATGTTGGTGAATTAACCCTCGAAATCTATTTCATGCTATGAATACCAACATGAAGATCTTATGATACTGGGAAATGATTGGCAGTATCTTGAAGAATAATATGGTATATTTGCCAGACTTCGTGGCAAGGTAAATAATGAGACTGTAGATGGTTAAGGTCTGTTTATTACTTTAATTGCTGGTGCTTATATACTAAGAAGATGCGTGAGATTTTCAGATTTAGCTATCCTAACAAACGTGCAACAATTAACATGTGTGTCTTATCTCTATCGTATCTAAGTAATGTAGCGACGTGATCGTGCCGCTACATATACTCCCCCCTTTTAAAAATAATTAACATATAAATTGAAAAAAATTAGTATGTACCTAATTATATAATAACTTAACCTTGCTGATAAATTACATCCTATGCGTAATGTAATGTCATTGTTGCTAATTCGAAGGAAATAAAAACTGCTGCCTTTGTTGTGACGGCGGCGGCAGTCGATGAACTATCCACTGCATTTGTGCTGATTGTTTCTGCTGATTGAAAATTTTAAATTCTTGTTATTACGAAGTCGTAATAATTCTTGGTCATCATGCTGATATCTTGCTAAATCAGCATAATTAATCGGTGATGGCACATCAATTTGTTCTATCCGTGACAATGCGTCTGCTACAATATTGTCACGTCCTTCTATATGTTGAATGTTGGTACAATATTGTGAAATAAAATCCAGTTGTCGTATTCGCCGTGGCGTATCATTAGATGACGGTTTTTGGGAAAATGCGTAAGTCAAAGGTCGATGATCTGTAAAGATAGTAAATTCTCTTCCTTCGACTAACCTTTGAAAATGTTTGACTGCCATATATATTCCGAGCAACTCTCTGTCGAATGTCGAGTATTTTTGTTGAGTATCACTTAATTTCTTTGAAAAGAATCCTAATGGTTCCCAATTACGTCCTGACTTCTGCTGCAGAACTGCGCCAACACAGGTCGAACTGGCGTCCGTCATAAGTGCCAAAGGGGCGGTGCGAGAGGGGTGAACTGTTAATACTGCGTTCCTTATATTTTCCTTGGTCCTTTAGTGATAATATGATGCTTAATCTTGTGTTTTGGAGTAGTGTGGAGGGAGGCTGGTTTCGTAATATCCTCGTATTCATTTAATAGTTGAGTAATGCGTGGATTCGTCTCAATGTTAATAGTGCGGATTGTTTGCTGCGTCGATTTGATCAGGGTTGCGGGCGTTGTCAGCTCAGTTACCCTATCTATGAGTTTTCGACCAGCTATATCGACTAATAGCTTATAATGCTCTAAAAAATCTGCTCCAATAATCGGTTGTGTTACATCGGCGATGACAAAGTTCCATACAAAGTTTCTTCGTAGCCCGAAGTTTAAAGAGAGTGTTTTTTCACCATATGTCTTAATTTTTGTACCATTGGCGGCATAAAGTATACATTGTTCATCTTGTATTAGTGACTGTCTCTGTGGCTTGCTAATAACTGAAATATTTGCTCCCGTGTCAATCAAAAATCTCATACCACTTTTTCGGTCGGTAATAGTGAGGCGGTTGGACGGGTGAATAGCACAGAGTTCCGCCGTTGTCCGTGCTTCAATTAGTTTCCCTGTTTCCTTGAGTTGAGATCCTGTTTCCAATCACAAGGTTGAACACACTTTTGTGCATATTTTTTAAATCTTCCATGGTAAAAACAAAAGTGCCTTCTTTCTCTTGAACTTGACTGTGGTAGGAAATGCCGACGATTGGAATAACTTTGAGTGCTGCGTCGATAGTTTTTTTGACCTTGCTGAATTGCATTTAGTTCCAATTGCATTTCTGCTAACTGTGCTAGTATGCATGACATTGTATCGTCGCCAGATTTGTTTCCGTTTACAGCTGACACCTCTGTACGTGTTGAATTTATTAATATCTTGTCCGCGATCTGGCTCATCTTGTTCACATCTATGTCTTCTGTGACTGCTAGAACCGAAGTCACTGATGGTGGCAGAAGCCTCAACCATAGAAGTTTGATGGTTTCGTCGCTGATATTTCCGTTACTCAGGGTCCGCATCTTGCGCAGAAGATGTGATGGTTTCTGGTCGCCGAGATCCATTTCAGACAATAATTTTTGGAGCTGACGTTGGTCTGATTCCTCATAGCAACTGATTAGGCGTTCTTTGATAGCCTTGTACTTTTCTATTGGCGGTGGGCAAGTAATGAGGTCACTAACCTGTATTATTTCTTCTTTTGGCAGTTTTGCAATGACCGTATAGTACTTGTAATCGTCTCCTTGCTTCTGTGGTGCTACTATGGCTTCTAGTTGCTTAAACCATAATCTGGGTTGGTCCCTCCAAAATTCCGGTTCCGGCTGATATCTCCAAGGCTTCTTGTTGGCTGCTGCTTGATTTGCAGGGTGAATGAGTCATGTTGATTGTTCTTCGTCGGGTCACCAATTTGCCAGACTTCGTGGCAAGGTAAATAATGAGACTGTAGATGGTTAAGGTCTGTTTATTACTTTAATTGCTGGTGCTTATATACTAAGAAGATGCGTGAGATTTTCAGATTTAGCTATCCTAACAAACGTGCAACAATTAACATGTGTGTCTTATCTCTATCGTATCTAAGTAATGTAGCGACGTGATCGTGCCGCTACAGTATACATATGTATAGTATCCGTTTACCTTAAAAAGTCTTTCGGAGACGGTAGTCAGGTATCCTATTTCCGCATTAGGATGTAATCCGTACAAATAAGGAGTTTCTTCTGGAAGATAGTCATCGATGTAGGCGTGATAACCAACGTAGTCAGAATTGGGTGGGGATATGAAGCCAGGTGCCAATTGTAGTTCACCATCCACCTGAACAATTAAATTTAATTGACATTATATTGCTCATATAACTAAGTATTTCGACATAAACATTGAATACTAAAATCGCAAAACTTTAAATAAAAAACAAATTAAATTAACGGTTCATGGAACTAACTCGAATTTAATAAAGAATTTGTTTGTAAAATGGTTGAAAAAGAATAACCATGGATTTGTTGCTGGTTTATCGCTGTAGAATCTATAAGTAACTATATTTTGGAACAAACAAATGGCTTCATTATAAGCTGACTGATAGACTGACACTTTTTTATATTGAAACATGGTTTGACGTATGATCAAATGTAGGTAATGTTGATCTAAATGATATTGCCCTTTGACTTTTGACTTTTTTGGAATAGGAGACGGATCACGTGATGTTCAGTGGTTGGCGCCGCCCATGGACAACTGTGACACCAGAAGAGATACAGGCGCGTTGCCGGCCTTTTAAAAAGAAGTACACACGTTTCTTGTAGCTATCTGTTTGTTACTTTTAACGAAACATGTTAAGGATATTATTATTTGTAGCAATAAACTCACCAATTCTGCCTGCATGTATTCGAGTAGGAAGGTACGACAAAGCCGGCGATCCCAATCGTCAGTAATGTGTCCTCCATACATGATCTCGCCGAAGAGATACCGCAAGTCCTCCCAAGGCACACGAGGATTCGCTTCCAAGTAGTTGTACAATACGTACACGCAAATCGTTAAGTCACCAAAGTTGAATGGGTATACTCTAAAGAGAAATACTTCAGTCATTATAAATTGTTGGTTTACGGAAAATCATCAAATCATCCCTAAAGAACGAAGACTCGGAATATTATTAAAGACTAATCTTACTATATTAGGTGAGATTAGATATTACTAGCTAATCTCAAGCTGTTTCATGATGTTTTATAGCATATAGTACTCAGGAACATTGTAGCTATCTATCAGTGAAAACCCCCTATATACAAATTTACAAATTACAAATTTAATTAAATTTGATCTCTTTATTATTAAGTATAGATGACGATTACTACACCTTTTAATACTAACTTATACAACTTATCTGAATTGTTTACCAGGTTGATTGAAAGAATAATCTAGAAACGATTTTGAATATGTGTTGGTTAATGTTTGATTGTGTAAAATTTATAGGGTAAGAAACTTCGACAAGGACTCTTCAATTATTAGTTTTTCTTTGTTGTAGGATTAAATACATTTAATTTTATTAAATTTCTTTACAATATTAAATAAAGTTAAATTAGGTAATACGTCTAGCTAGCGACGCGCTTTCGATGCAGTGCCGTGGTCGGTCGTGGGGTGTCGCGCGGTGCACCCATTCTCCCCGCCGCCCGCGTGCTTGTCTTCCCCGCGTTCGCCCATCATGTATGTGACTCACGCAGTATATAGGCGCGTGAACATAGCCCCCGCCTTGGAAGCACCCGCTTCCAATGAAGTTTTACGAAGCTTCACAGACATCGTCATCATCACCGTCGGTTGATAAGGGGCATAACTTTGTGTAAGCTCGTCTGATTACCCCCGTCGCTGTTTTGACGTCTGCGACTCTTGAGATGCCGTCGTTCCCAGTGAAGGTGCTGGTGACTCTGCCGAGGCGCCATCTAAGCGGTGGCAAATTGTCTTCTTTGATGAGAACGAGGGTATTAGGTTTGATTTCTTGATTCTTATGTTTCCATTTAGTTCTCGTTTGGAGTTCGGTAATATATTCTTTGGTCCATCTCTGCCAGAAATGCTGTCTCAGTTGCTCCACTCTCGCGTAACGTGACAGTCTAAGTGTAGGTGTAGCTGTCAGGTCATCAGAGGCTGCCGCTGTAAGTGGACGTCCGATGAGGAAATGTGCTGGCGTCAGTGGCAGTGCGTCGGCGGGATCAGATGACAAGGCGCATAGAGGACGTGAATTCAGTATGGATTCAATCAATGTTAATACTGTATAGAACTCTTCGAAGGTTAAATGTGCATTACCCACCACTCGACGGAGATGGTGTTTGCAAGACTTTACCCCTGCCTCCCACAAACCACCGAAATGAGGTGCGTACGGCGGAATGAATGAGAACTTAATATTTTCATTAGCTGTGTAATTGATAATAGAATTCGAGTTATTATTAAGGAATGTACTAAATTCCTTTGGGGCTCCTACAAAGTTTTTCCCATTATCGGAGAAAATCTCTATAGGCTTACCACGTCTCGATATGAATCTTTTTAAAGCGAGTAAGTAGGCTTCTGTAGTAAGATCAGTGACTAGTTCCAGATGAATGGCCTTTGTTGAAAAACATATAAACAAACAAATATAACATTTTTCTAATTTAGCTCCTCTTCCTCTACGGCTTAGTATGAACAGTGGTCCGGCGTAGTCCACGCCACAACGATAGAATGGAAATTTCGATTCTAATCTCTCCACTGGTAAGTTGCCCATCTGAGCATTTATTGTTTTGCCCTTTATGCGGGTACAGATAACACATTTACGAGTTATCTTCCTAGCTAACTGCCTACCACCTATCGGCCACCAATTTTCTCGTAAAGTGGACAGTAATAGTTGAGGACCGGCGTGCAATAAACGGAAGTGCTCGTGTCTAAATAGTAATAATGTGAAATTATGTTTACTAGACAATACCACTGGATGTTTCTTATCAAAAGAGAAATCAAGGGAGTTTTTAATTCTACCGCCTACTCTTATAAGCCCGTATTCATCTAAGAATAAATTCAGACCGTTTAAGTTACGGTTGGATTTTATTGGTAAATTATTTTTTAAACACTTATATTCCTCCGGGAAAGATTCTTTTTGTGACAGTCTAGATAACACGATCATTGAATTGTTTAGTTCCTCAACTGATAGTGTTCCAAGAGCTCGATTTGATTTTAATTTAATTCGCGTATTTGTAATAAATCGCAAAACATACGCCATTGTGCGTTTTAAACGATTTAAAGAAGAAAACCTATCAAATAATCTTAAGTCGGTGTTAACTTGACACTTCATGACAACAGTGGTTGATTTAAGCTCTGGAAGTTCGTTGAAATCAATGTTACGACAGACTGACGTGAGACCTTTTTCCCACTTCGAGTTGGGTTCACGTAAACAAGTTGGTCCATGCCACCACAGATCGGATGCTTGTAGTGTATCTATAGTAACACCGCGCGAAAGCAAATCTGCTGGATTTTGTTTACCATTTATATGCAACCAAGAACAACCCTCAGTAAGCTCATTAATTTCAACGACCCTATTCTGAACAAACGGTTTTAAAGAACTCGGTGTTATGTTCAACCACCCTAACACTGTTGTTGAGTCAGACCATAGATAAACATTGCTAAAATTAATTTTAATTCCCTTAATTATTTTATTGTATAATCTTGCACCCAACAAGGCACCACACAACTCGAGGCGCGGAATACTAACCGGTTTTATCGGAGCTACTTTGCCTTTCGCACACAATAGACGGATAGATAACGCATTGACCGAGCTGTTATATATATAAGCGCGTATGTATGCGCATGCACCGTACGCGCTCTGTGAGGCGTCGCAAAATATATGAAGCTCAACTTGTTTGTTATTATCGCTTAAGTCACTCATAATATAACGAGGGACCCGTATAGTATGTAAATTATTTAATTTAGTAAGGAATTGTTTCCAGCTTAGTTCAATATCTTGTGGAATAGGATCGTCCCAATCAATTTTACACAACCATAATTTTTGTAATATAATTTTTGCAATAATGACTGTCGGTGCTAATAAACCTAATGGATCGTAAATTTGTGAAACTATTGACAAGATACTTCTTTTAGTTATGCCAGTACCATTACTATCTTCAAGTTTTGTTATGAAATGTAGGTCATCGCTCGCGCTAAACCAACCTAACCCTAACGTTTTATTTTGACAGTTTTCTCCAAATAACATTTCCTTTGAGGAACTATTTATTGTATTTATATTTGAAGTATCATAATTAAATACCCACTTACGCAATGTAAAACATCCTGAACTTAAAGCTCTAAAAACACCGTCACATATAAATTTTAACATATTCTTATCATCATGACCCGTAATAAGATCGTCTACGTAAATATCTTCTTTGATAACTTGCGAGATGACGTCATCGTTACATTCGTCAGCAAGCTGTCTAATGCAACGCATGCTTAGATACGGCGCGGACGCAGTGCCATACGTCACCGTGTTGAGCTGATATATAGCAAGCGGATCTGAAGGGTTTTCTCTCCACAAAATACACTGCAAGTTACGTTGGTCAGGCTGTATTAGTACCTGCCTAAACATTTTCTCGACATCGGCACAAGCAATGTATCGGTGTCGCCGAAATCGTAATAAGATTGAAAATATATCATTTTGTAATATAGGACCTGTTAATTGGATATCGTTTAAAGATTTGCCACTAGTAGATTTGGCACTCGCGTCAAAAACTACTCGTAGCTTAGTGGTACTACTACTTTCCCTAAACACCCCATGATGCGGCAAAAAATAAGTTGGAAAAGAATATGTATGTATGCGAGTCATATGACCCAGGTCTAAATATTCTTTCAAAAACGCGGAATACATTTTTTTATACTCAGGATTGCGGGCCAGTTTACGTTCAAGCGATCGGAACCGGTTCTCCGCTAACGTAAATGTGTCTCCTAATGAATCAGCTGACTCGCACAATGGAATGCGCACAGAAAACCGACCCTTATCATCGCGTAACGTAGTACTAGAAAATAAATTTTCACATGCACGTTCGTCTTTAGAATAATTATTGATGGGCATTGTGATTTCTTCTAACTCCCAGAACTTTTTAAGCTGCACATTAAGTGTTTGTGTAAAATTACACTGAATTTGATTAATACGCAAACTCTTTGTTTGAACTGGACCGGATATAATCCACCCGAGTTTTGTATTCTGGAGACAGGGTCCAGTAGGTAATCTAATAAGTCCTTCATTTAACAATTCCCAGAATAAGTCTGCACCGATGAGAAGCTGAATTTCGTAAGGCGAATAAAAGTTTGGATCAGCTAGTGTTACATTATCGGGTATGTTAAAATTAATATTTACGTTTAGTGAGGGTAACTGTGCGGTAATTTGAGGCAAAACTAAACATTTTAAACTTCTTTTATAATTGTGAACTTTGGACCTCAATTTAATTTCACAGGATTGTGTGGACTGTGTAATGCAATGTCCTACACCTGTGACTTGAACAGTGGACTGTAACATTTTAGTATTTAACGTTCTGCATAAAGACTCAGCTACGAAACATTGCTGACTACCACTATCGAGTAATGCGCGGATAGTGTGGTATTTATTATTGCAGTCGGCAACCTCCACTAACGCTGTGGATAACAAGACAGGCTGCACTGTTAAAGAGATACAGCTGTTATTGTCTCGTTTTTTAACCGCTACTGAATGCAGCATCGCGGTCTGAGAACTGCCTACAGCAGGCTCCTCTCGCGGCGCCGCTTGCAATGAGTCATTGGACACTTTATTATCACAATGAAGTAATGAGTTATGTTTTAAGTTGCATTGTTTACAGGGTCCAAACCAACAGTTCATTTCAGTATGGCCAACCCGCAAACAATTGCGGCAAAGTTTCTTTTCATCTACAAATTTTGATTTATCGCGTACCGATAAGTTTAAGAACTTGCTACATGAATAAAGCGCGTGATTAGCATTACACAAGTTACAAACGCGAGACCGGTTTGAAGATTTTGATGTTTTATTACTATAATTTTTATTTATTTGTGTAGCAACATAACTGTGCGTGCTATTATTGACTTGATTCGAAAGCGCTTTTTTATGATTATTGTCGACTGGTTTATTGCTAGATACCCTTATCATTTCAAGCATGTCTGCCCGATTTTTAAGAAATTTAAGAAAATCATCTAGTTTTATTTTTTGAGAAAAAGAAGAACCCTGCGCTTCGTTATTGATTAAATTCCCCTGGTAATTCTCCCATTCTCTTTCTGTGGACGCATCTAACTTTGACGCCGCAAAGAAAATTACAATGGAATCCCAGGAGTCTGTAGGTTCACCTAAGATTTTTAACGCTCTAAGATTTCTCAGAATATTATCAATTAATTTCCTTATTTGAGCAGAGGACTCTTTATTTATCGGCTGCATAGCAAACAAGGCTTTTAAATGGCTATGCATCAGCAGACGACTATTGTTATAGCGATTTTCAAGCAAGTCCCAAGCAATACAATAATTTCCGGCAGTAAACTCTAGCGATTTAATTACTTGCAAGGCATTACCAGTGAGAGCAGAACGCAAATAATGGAATTTTTGTATTTCATCAATATCTTTAGAAGCATGAATAAGCGATAAATATGTGTCTTTAAATTCTAGCCACTGATCATACGAGCCATCAAAAGAGGGTAGCTTAATTGTAGGTAGTTTTATATAAGTTGAAGATTTAGAAGATAATGATTTTGGTGAAGAGTCGTCTTGACTTAACAGACATTTGGCACTAGTCACTGTAGTATAATATCGATCTTCAAAGGATTCTCTTTCTACCAATTCTACCTCCAATTGACTATCTGACACAATAAGATCTATTTCATCCTGAATTTCCGAAAAATTCGCTAACAATGCTTCCGCTTTTTGCAAACGAATTTCTAATTCTGTTCGTTGAGCATTATTTAAATCAGTATTTTCGAAAGAACTAACATATTTAACAAATAAAGAAAATTTACTTTTAATTATACCTCGCTTTTTAACTAAATCTTTAACCGTGTTAATTGTAAGCTCTTCAGACTCAAAAGGAGTAAGGGATTGCCGTTTTTTCGTCATTTCGGTAGCTATGAAAGACAAAGGAAAGTACTCACAGTTTGAAAAGTAACCGTTTTTTCAACGAATGGCGAGTATGCCGCGCCCACCTTCTTCTGTTCTCTCACTCCTTCTTCTCTTCCTAGACGTCCTTATCTTTCCCAATGGTTACTTTGAATTGCGCTGATCTTCAATGACGATTTTCCTGATGACATCCGGCTTCGAAGGACCATATGTTGGTTAATGTTTGATTGTGTAAAATTTATAGGGTAAGAAACTTCGACAAGGACTCTTCAATTATTAGTTTTTCTTTGTTGTAGGATTAAATACATTTAATTTTATTAAATTTCTTTACAATATTAAATAAAGTTAAATTAGGTAATACGTCTAGCTAGCGACGCGCTTTCGATGCAGTGCCGTGGTCGGTCGTGGGGTGTCGCGCGGTGCACCCATTCTCCCCGCCGCCCGCGTGCTTGTCTTCCCCGCGTTCGCCCATCATGTATGTGACTCACGCAGTATATAGGCGCGTGAACAATATGGAAGCTTACCTGTTCCATCCTTGAGGGCCAAACTTACGTCTCTCAGCGACGACAGCATGGAAGTAGCATAGAGCAAATAAAACTGATTTAAACTCAGCCTCCTTGCTGCACATCTCTAGTGTTTCCTGACTGAAGCAATCTAGAGCCTAGGAAAGAATATCTTCGTACATTAAAAATATATTTCATAAACGGGCACTTTCTTCGGTCAAAAATAAATTCCTTCAAGATTTCAATACAGTTAAATATTCAAAAATAATCGTACTACATTGATGAATTTGACGGTATAATTAATTTTTGATTTTTATTGGTTACATTTTTAAAAAAAGGAATTTGTTGACCCAAAAATATGGCTAAATTTATAGAACAGTTTCATCAGCCTGTACTACCCTCACTGCTGAGAATATCTCTTCTCATCAAGAAAAGAAATGAGCGTGAAGTGTACCTTATGCAAATTTGCCCACATGCCAATAGGTGGTTCATTGGTTATTTTGATCGATGACTCCAAGATTCCTTGAGGTATAATGTGGTACGCGGGATCAGCGGCTGGCTCAGCGCTTAGGAACAACCTTTAATAAAAAGCAAAAAGTAAATAGGTATAATTATTATTTTATTTTAAATGACAAAATTTCTAAAGTGAGCTTTAGCAAGGCCAAAATAATTCGTTTAACAAGATCGTGAATGCGTGGCGGAATGAGCTCCGGCGAGATCTCATGGCTGAGTGAAGCAGCGACAGACTAAAAACTGGTGTTTCTTTTTTTGGGCTTTTCGCGGATAGCATTTAGTAACTCAACCAATAATTAAAAAAAAACTATTACTCACTTGTGGATAAGTCACAGTGTGATTATAGATGTCATTACGTGCCTATGCCTAATTGCCATGGGATTAGAGCCACTTTATGAGGAAGTGTGTTGAAAATATAATTATGGTTGCTACCTATTTATAAGTTTAACTTGAATGCTTCCTTCCTACCTGTATTCTGGTTCAGGGTTTTCGAAGCACTCTTCCATTTTCTTCTCTAGTGATGGTAACCAATTCTTGACTAAGTGAATGTTTTGCAATATGACCCAGTGTCCATTGACGGATGCTATGCTCATCCCTTGCTCGGCTACTACCTCTTGACCTTGTCCCAAGGACACGATATGGAAATTCTTCTTGTCCGTCGAAAAGCCTATTTTGCGGCCCATCTTTTCTATGTCCTGTAAATGTTTTTGAGTATTACAAATATTTGTGTTGTCTAAATTAAACTAATTATAAATAATGTCTACAATACTATACTTAATGTTGGGATTATTTCCACTTTTCGGTTTCTCCTTTATCATGGGTGCGTTTACAAAAATACAATTTCACATACAAATCACACCCAGATCCGGAATAACAATTTGTGGATCATACAGTTTTTTTTTCGTACGGGAATCGAACCCGCCACTCGTTGTACGGCAGCCAGTTGTCCAGCTACCGCGCCAACCGTGCAGTCAAATTCAAGTTATGGACCTTTCTTCAAAAATTGAAAGTCTTATGGCTTAAATCTTATGTCTTAATTACCTTCAACGGGTCAACACCAGGCGATAGAATAAAGAACATAGCAGTTGTCGAATTACTCTCTTGATATGATACATCTAAAGTTGGCGTACGAGCCTCAACGTATTTTGTTCCAAGATTTTCTTCACAAAACGCTCTACAACAAAAAAACCCTTAATATTTACGAAAGTCAATGAGAAAAGTCAAAAATAAAACAAATTGGAAACTGTACACAGTTTCTTAGCAAAAAGAAATATATTTATGTATTTACTAGTTATTAATGTGAAATTACCCAGAAGCGTAAGACATGCGGTCAGGTCTCAGAGCTCGCATTATACAAAGCCGCTGCAGTGATGTCTTGTTCTTCCATTCACCCGGTAACTTGTCTCTTTCGGGAGCTTCACCTTCCGTATATTTCTGCCACCTGATTTATAAAAACAAAGTAGGTATCAAGTTGCTATGGGAGATAAGAACAGCAAATCTTTTAATTTGATGTCGCGTGATTCGTCTAAAGCGTTGTCTAGTGAGGTTGTTACTTACATGTGTATTGTATGTTACAGGTGTTTGGGTGAGCCTTGCTTGGGCACAAAATGGTCGACTCGACCGGAGTGATACTACGGCCTCACAGAAAACCGGAGTGAAACAACACTTACATTGTGTTTCGTCGTGTGGGTTACCGGAGGCCTAATTCTCCCCCCTCTCCCCATCCTCAATCTTCAAATCCCCTAACCTTAAATTCCTAATAATTCCCAAGTTGGAAGTTGGCAACGCACTTGTAGTAACTCCTATGGTACTAATAGTGCTCATGGGGGCGCTGATTGCTGACCATCAGGTAAGCCGTCTGCTCGTTTGGCACAAAAAATAAAATAATATACCTCTTGGCAGCTCCTTCAATATCTTTGTCAAGATTCTCGAATGCATCCATTTTGGAAAGCGCCGTGATACCGCCGAAGCTTTGGTGGCTCAGCCAGGAGTACGGTGAGTTCTCCGGCGCAACGGCGTACTTTAATAGGAAGTCCAATTCTTTTGCGTCTACTTTACCTTCAGTTTGCAGAACCTAAAGAGTTATCATCATCGGTAATGGTAAATAAGGTATTCACAGATATTTTAAATCTTATAGGTTTTTCTACATAGTATAAAATATCAGATGTCCTGGTGGCCCTGCAGATTAAGACCAATTTTGGCAAGTATCAATGTAACTTTTTCCGAGTTATATATAATTTCTATCACTTAAAGACACCACTGTTATTTGGTGAAGGGAAACATCGTAAGGAAACCTGGACTTCTCATTATAAGTTTGAAATCGCCAATCCGCCTTGAGCAAGCGTGGTAATTAATGCTCAAACGTTCTCCGTGTGAGAAGAGGCCTTTGTCAGCAGTGGGCACTTACAGGCTGATGATGTGTATAAAATAATATACCTGTAGAGTAATGAGGAAGAGGAAAATAAGCTTGTCTTTTTCAAACAGTCCTCGGCTTGTGTAAACAAAGACGGCGAATGTAATGCTATCAAGCAAGTTCTGGACGCGATGCTCGAGGTCTGGTGCCGGCTCGGCTTTAGCCAATGCATCCTTGAACACCACACTATACGCTTTCAGCGAGAACTGGTACATCGGGTTGATCTTGTATAAGTCGTTTAAGATGAAATATAATAGCGAAGCTCTTGCAGCAGCTCGCCTGTCAATAAAAATGGTCACGTCAAAAATATAGACAGTTAAACATCACTAGGTACCTACTATTTCTTTTTAAATTCGATCCTAGATAATGATAATAAAAATTTATTTCCATGGAGACGGCAGGAATATTGAATAAAAATAGGCAAGGCACCGAACACTTTTTTTTAAACACAGTAATAAAATTCTCCATCTAAACGGCAAACGAGCACTCTTTTGAAATTAAGATATGGATAATTTCAAATTACCTATACTTATCTCTAGCATCATCGATCTGAACTGCTGTTTTTTTGCCTTCCTCTACTTTTATTTCAATATCAGCGGCAGTCTTTTTGGTCGTTTCTAAGTTTATAACGAGTGCAGAGTCACTCAAAATGTCAGGTCCAGCCGACGACAAACGTTTTAGTAGATCGTCTTCTAAAGTCTTCAACGTAATTTTGAAATCGTTCTGTTGCTTAGTAAGGCCTGCTCGCAAGGTTTCTAAATCTGGACGCTCGGCTTTCACTACTTCACCCAAAAGCTGATCTTCTAATCTGTAGATGGAAGATGTAAATCATTTAGAGTTAAATTCTTATTTCATACCACTGAAACCTTAACGAAAATGTATAAAATTAATTAAACATTATGGTGAAAGGCTTTGGCCAGATTTTTTTATTAAAAACTAATCGTATTTGATAACTAACTACTAATAATAATTACTTTAACACGTCAAAATAAAGGTCAAGAGTCAAGTAAAGGACGGTTTGCCAGCCTGGTAAGCGGATGCAATGTAATAATGTACCTACCGCGACCCCAGCTCGAGAAAGAACATGGAGCATTTTCTTCAGCTCCTCATTTGCCTTCCAAATGACCGAGACCCTGCGGTCCCGTGATTGTCGAAATAATATTTATAACTATTTTATTTTAAGAGGGTTTCAAGTTCGTCAAGTTTTTCAAGGTATTAGCTATCTACGGGCAATTAATGTTAGCAAAAGCTTGACGACTGACCCATCCTTAGTGACGGTGAAATTGATGAGCGTGCACTGCGCTTGCATCTCCGGCTGGTAGTGTGGGTTGGCCAGCTTAGTTTGCAACAGAAATCGGAAATTGGGGTGGTAATCTATCTCTCTGTCTCCAATCTGAAATAAAATGATATTGTTTTTATTGTACCCCATTATTCTAATATTCTTCCAACTATGTGTTTCTAGATGTGGCCACGTGATTTGATATGTCGATATGCAACTATTTTTTTTTCACTGTAGTAAACTACACTCGTACAATTAACTTAGCACTAGTAGAAATACCTACTAGAGTCTACTATATTTTGAAATGATAACCGATTATTGTTCAGAGTGATTACATGTGAGACATATTCATGGACTTCTACAGCTATTCATGTATTACTTCTGACAATGAATTTAAGCACTGTGCATATGTCTGCAATCTGTTGTTATCGGTAACTTTTCTAACTGCTTTAAATACCTTACTTTCAAATCCGTGTGTAATGTTGAGTACTAAGTTTCAACTTACTTTGAGCACTTTGCCCTTGCGTATGAGAACTCTTCCAAGCAAGGGGTCTAACACAGCTTCCACGGTCTCCCCAATATTCTCCAGCATTACTATCTCACCATTGCTAACACCACGTTCAATACGATCCAGATAGTTCCGCTGTGTCAATCTGACCACGACTAAACTGTCTCCGTATTTCTGTTTGATCCATTTTAAACCTTGTCTGAAATGCACATTATTTAAAAAATATACAATTAAAGAAAATAACATTTTTTGTTGTTTTTGAATTTCGAGCAGTCTGTCCTCTGTGCGATTTTCATAACATAAATGGAAAATAACCGTATCTAAAGATAACCCAGAAACAATTATTATGTGTAGCCAAAATGCCAAAATGCCATGAAAAGGGCCTAAAAGTTAAAATACCAAAAAAATGTGGTAATAGAAAAATAATAGTAAGTACCTAATAAAAAAAAGGTTAAGTGATAGCTTTCAACATCGAAAGTGAATATGCTTTAGCCGAATTCTTAAAAATATAAAAGTGCATGCGTTTTATGTTCAAAATACGTTTTTTATGTTTTTTAGTTCTTTATATTTTTAACGATACTGTCATAGTTTTTTGGGTGGATACCTACTATAAATAGTGGAAGGTATATGACTTACAATTGCGGATCGATTAAGAGCGGCCATCTTGCGGAGTTACTTAGTATAGTTGCATTTTCCGTGCTCATAGCATCGGTGGGCAGCCCTTCATTGTTCCAAGACGCTACCTGCGCGTCATCTGTCAGCATCGACAGCGGATCCAAACCCTCGGTTGTGTCGATTTTGGGCTAAGACCATAAAACAATAATATTTTTCTGTGCCCTAAACTAAACTAAATAACTACTGAACATTTATAAAAATTCTGGTCCAAAACTAAATTTTATGTTTGACTGTAACTAATATGATAACTGAACGATCAGGTTCGTGCTGCTAGATATTTCGGGTGCTAAATGATAAGTCTGAGCTAAATGATAAGATTCAGAGAACATTTATTCCGACACGTTACGCTAATTAATGCTAAAGATGATACTTAGTGCTTCTATAGTAATGCATGCCGATCAATCGCGCACTGACTCGCGTAGCTCGCGCTTCTCGCTGGTGCGGCCACGCGACCTACCTAGTTTGATATAACTGCTGATGATGATGTGTTCGATGAGTATCGAACAATAACATCCTAAGTAGTTAATGGAAATATAAGTCGTATTATGGAAGCGTATATTCCCTATTATTTTAGAGCCAACCTAATACAGATAACAGTCTTTCCTGATCAGGATCTACTGACATTAGTAACAGTCAAGACAAACATTCAAGGATAAATTATATACTAAAACTAAAAATCAAAGTAAAACCTTACATTGGTTTTAGCAAGAGTGGGTATCCAATCATTGTTGATGAGTAGCATGCGATAGCGTCGCATGAAGCAGCCCACGTAGGAAATGAATGCGGTGACGAGCAAAACATCTCCCGGTAGCATTACGCCTGACTCTTTCAAGTTCACTACCGTCGCTGACCATCTGAATAGTGTTCAGTCAATGATTATGGATGTGTTTTATAATCAATACTATTGAGAAGGAAACATTTTATTTGAAGCTCGAATCAAATTAAAATTGTTAAAGTATGAAGCCACGACCAATACGGTAGTTTCCAACTAGTCAAATTCAATACTTTTATCCAAATATCAAAAAAAACGATGCATTCTATGAAACTCCAAATTATGACGTCACAGCGTTTTTGCGACAAACAGCTTACATATTAAATAAAATATAGTGTATCGTCAGATCGATGAATTGATCTATTTTTGAGCTGGGAAACTACCAAATTTTTCTTGACTAGCTTTTGCCCGCGACTGTGTTCGCGTGGAATAGTGACATTCTGGAGATTTTTGGTTTAAAAACTATCCTATGTCCTTTTTCGAGTTCCAAACTATGTCTGTACCAAATTTTACACAAATAGGTTCAGTAGTTTAGGCTTGAAGAAAAGACAGACAGACAGACAGAGTTACTTTCGCATTTACATATAATATTAGATTGGATTGCTAACAGGTATATTTTTAAAACATTGTAGTTTTTACAAAACGCAAGAAATTTCCGAACCTGACTTTCTCTGAAGCTAGACCGTTGACTAATCTGTTTGCTAGATCAATGGTCGCATTAGTAGCATCGGCTTCAGCCTGACATTTCATTTTCTCGTTAACTGCCTCCTGGAAGGCTTTCAGCAATTCTTCCAATTTCTCTTCCAATTCCTATCGTGAAGAAAACATCAGTAAAGTATTTATAGCAGCTTCAAGTATGTTATTTAACTACTTGTATAAAGCTACCAAAATTGGAAACGTTTTATTAGATTTTCATATTTCGTGATTATTGGATTTTTTGGTTTTTTTTGTAGCGTTTTATACTTTCCTCCTAGCAGTAAGGTACTCACAGCGATCTGATCAGTAAGAAAGGCGAGTTTATCTCTAGCCGCCTGCAGCTCAGCATTAGCAGCATTGAGTGCACGTCTCTTAGGCTCGACCACCACATACACCTCGTAAAACTTGACGATGTTAATGACCCAGGAGCACAGACCGGCAGCAGCCGCTGACTTGGACATTATGAACGCCGCATTGAATTCTGGATTCTTTATGTATGGTTGTACCGCCTGTAAAAATAAATAAGAAAACGTTTGCCCGAGGTGACTTTCACCAAAACAGCAGAACAACGAAAGTGTGGGAAAGCCAAGCTTCGGCACGAATGGGTCGGCTCGACCGGAGGAGGTCTCA